AAAAGCTATTTCGAAACAATGATCATTAACTGCATCTTGTCTGACAGATTACACTGAATATCCATACTGCCATAATACTACATATTTTCACAAAAGGTTAATTTCAAAACCGCATATCGCATATTAATGTTAAGTAATCTCTTAGCTGATGTGAGTCGATTGATGAACTACAAAGCTAGAATGCCGCTACTGCATCTGCCGAAAATGCTACAAGGCCTTCACACTACGAAATTCCACGAAAAATTAAAACTCTAATTCTCATACCGCAATGTTAAGAATTCTACAGCACATCAAAATTGATAGAAGAGTGTTAATGCCGACCGCTACCGAAGCATTCTTAGTCTTACTAGCCGTAATTCTACGAATATCCACAAAAAGTAAAAGCTCAAACGACATACCGCAAAATCATATTTCTGAACAACAGGACTGTAATGAAATACTGCAACACGCTGACGTATTTACACTGCTAGGCTACACGAACTCATACTATTACTCAACTGCCCATTTACTACAAAGTTTAATGAAAAATTAAATCTCAGATTACAAACTGCAAAACAATATTTCACCAAGCTATAGTAATACTGAGCAATAGCACCCGTTAATACCGCTAAGATTGCCTATAGACTGTAATCACTGAGCCAATGCACTACGAAATTACTCATCTGCTAAAATCTTACCGAATCATACTGCACGACTAAAATGCAATGGAACATCATATGAGCTAACGGAAAAATATCCTGTAATTCCAAAGCTACTGCTCCAATTACTTCCGCTTTTTCCTCATCTTCACACTTCCATACTTCATACTTCATCCATACACCGAACGTTTATTCAACACACGACCGAAGTGAGAACTTAAACTTGACTTCCGCTAACGTATATACAGCAAAAATTGAGAACATAGAAACGCGAAAAGAAATTTACAATACGCCGCAAGAATAATGACAACAAATGCCAACACTCAAGGTTACAAACCGTGACATCATCACTGAGGGTTACAGGCTGACTGCAAAGAATTATCAACAGAATTGTTACGACGATGGGCTCTAGGATCAGGAGCGACTAGGTTATCTGAGGACTGAACGCGAAGACGACTGCGCTGCACATCTGGATATGAAGAACGAGACTGCAACCCGGACAAGTCATTGCGTTTAGCATCCGCCGCCATACGAACTCGCTCTGCTGACTGTTTACGCCGCTCTTCCTCTGCGTTACGCTGAAATAGATCCGAGGGATTGATAGAAGGATATTGAGGTCTTCCATCACCATTCATAGGAACATACGCAATACCAGGAACCACAACTGAAGGTTCATTCACTACAGGATTCTGAGAAGGTTCAGCCACAACATTCCCGCCATTAATCGCATTCTGGACGTTATTAGCAACTTGAGCCACAACTTCCGGATTCACCACATTGCCAACCGCCACAGGATTCTGATCATTCACACCAACAACACCATTAGCATTAGCGACACCGACAACGGCATTCTGACCTTGCTGCTGAGGAACAATGTTCTCTTCGTTAATATCCATTTCCTCATTCGCCACAGGCTGATTCAAAGCCGCCATGTTCTGCTGGACAACTTCCGCGTTCTGAGCTTGCCAACCAGGGTTATTCACAACAGGCAAAACTGCTCCAACAATAGGTACATTCTCCGGAACAACCAACTGAACACCGTTAACACCGTTTCCGCCATTATTTTCCAAAGGATACTGAGGATTACGCTGCCACTGCTGAATATTATTCTGATATCCATTATACGCTCTTCCACGATAACCACCACGAGAATAAGGACGATAATAATTCATACGCCGATTATTGCCACGACCACGAAAATTTCCGCGATTACCATACTGATTCTGATATTGATGACCATTACTACACAAAGCATCTACCATATAATTAAAAGCTGCATTAAGATCCATAATACCAAGCAAAAGTGACCAGGAAATAAATGAAAAGGTCGCAAAATAAAATCTCCAAATAAAGATAAAAAGTGAATTCAAAGTTCTCAAACGACACACTGATTTCTGACTGCAAAACCGCAATCGCATTAGCGCTAACACGCTCACAAATTTTAATGACTGAACAACCGCATATCCACAATTCGTACTCGCATCACACAGATCACACCGATCAACGAATAAAAAGTGAAATACGTCATAGTACAAAAATACACCGATCTGTACAACAGAAGTAAAAGTTAGAAAATACCGCGAAAAGCACTGACACAAAATACTACCGTTCCTGTACGACGACTGCAAATATCAAAAGACAATTTCCGCGTAGGTACCGTAATACTACACGCCATTCCAAGTAAAAACACAACAAATACGAACCGACAACAAAAATTCACAGAGTTCGTTGCTTCTTACGAGACTGAACAGGGATTTCAGGAGAGGATTCACGCGACAACACAACTGAAGGAATTTCAACAATTTCAGGACTGATTTCCCGCTGCCTCTTCCGCACTGCTGCTGGGGAGGGTTTATCGACATGCTGCGAATGCAATAACCCGCCATTGAACATCATCCGCGTGGGAAAGTCGACGACGCTGTCATTCTTCCGATGCAACTGCGCAATCAAGTTTAGACTCTCAATCGAATCAGGATGAGCAAATAAATACTGGGTCTTAAGATACCGATTCCGTTCTCTGGACATATTACGCACAAAATGGTTAAACTTCTTCACACTGATAAGTTTTCCGGCATATACAACGCCATTCAAAAACAAACGAGTTCCAGGATGAAGGACTATGTTACCTTTGTCATCACGTTTCGGAGGAGTTTTCTCGTGATACACCATGGGTTGCTCTTCAAACTCCGAATTGCGATCTGACTCAACTTCAACATTCACATCCGCCAAATTAGCTAATCTCTCCGCTGTGTTAGGTAAAGGACCAGTTGAACCCGACAAACATTCATCCTCATCATCACACGTTTCGCTGGGAGTAGATATCAAGGTCGTAAAACTCTCAGTATCGGTCGTAGATATCACCTTATAACGTTTCCCGTCTTCTTGATGACAATCGAACATTTCCGCTGATTTCTCAAGACCTGCACTAGAGTTGCCGCTGTGCACACTCTCAACATCTGCTACGTCACTGCGATTACCAATTTCAGGATCAGGTTCTCTCACAATATAATCAACTGCGTAAGGGTCAACATCTGCCAAAAATCTTTGAGTTTCCGTCACATCTGACTCATTCGAAGGAATACTGGAGATCGAAATGAAGGACACTTCCGATTCGTCAGCAAAGTTAACACTACTGCTGCTGTCAAAACTACTCGAACTGCTATTGCTGGAAGAAGAAGAAGAAAAAGAAGAACTTGCTTCTCTCTTACGCTTCTGGATACGCTTAGTCGCTTTAGGAGGCATGATAACCGAAAAGATCAAAAATCGAAAAACCACAACAAAGGAGTTCACTGTTCTGACGAAATCACAACACTGTCGGTATCTCTTTGAAGTAAAAACCACAACAAATCTGCACTGTCATCGCTCTCAACACATAGGCACACGAAACTGCCATACCACAAGGTAGGGTTGTTGATACCAGCCACTGAGGAGCGTTAGTGGTATTGGTATTGTGGTATACCAGTTTATACCAGTGGTATACCAGTTAGTACCACTGGTATTATCAATAATACCTGGTATTTTATTTTACACTGTGGTATTGGCTTTTTGCTAGCGTTTGAATACCATGCTAAGTTACCACAAAGCAAATCCACTTATTACACATTCTTGCCTCCAAACAAATCACTGAGAGAGTAAAAATCAGTCACTGAATCATTAATCTCGTCATCCGTACATTCCTCAAATTCTAGGAGAGCTTCTAACACCGAGTTGAACTGACTCGTAGCGCTTGCACCATCTTGAATTTGCGAATCTGAAACTGTACTGCAGTCATTACTGTTGCTGGAGATTATCTGAATTTCTCCATCTTCATCCATCTCGACTACTGTACTCGAGCTTTTCTTGTTTGTTTGAAGGTCGACCTTCAGCGATTCTTTTAGAGCTGCGACTCGCTGCGCTTCCCGTTTTGCCATAATATCCTCTTTCTGAAATTTCATTCGCATTGCCACCATTCCCGTAGCTAAATCCAGTTTTAAGTTAGATCGATTGTCATCATGCACGAATCCTAACTGACTCCAAGCGCGCTCCAAACTTGCAGCATGCACGACGACGTGCCAAAGTTCCAAAGCCAAGGTGGCTAGCTCTTTGTGCTCATATTGTACGTATTTCCAATAACGTTCCACAGAAGAAAGATTCGATGCAACTTCATCTCCAAATATGCCTTTGTTCTCAATGTAATCCATGAGGGAGTTAATCACCCGCATTCCATCAGCTTCAAATAAGCGGACATACCATCCTTTTGCCCAACGCAGCACAACCCCGAAATTGAAACGCCCAGACGTGCGGAATGGTTTCATTTTGGACGCTGGGTCCAGTATCAAAGCCAAAACAAACAGTGACGGATCATAAAATTTCTGCCAGCGTTTTTCTAGGGTCGACCCTAACACCCCCGCTAAATCATCATCTTTCAGTGCGGTGAACACGTGGTAAATTTTCGCAAACTGAGTGATAACATCCGCTAAAGTGCATCCATCCGTCTCTGTGATTCCTTGAGCGACAGTGACAGGATCCAGTATTTGGACAACATTCTTTAGGCCACTCCAAAATGCTGCATCTTCAATAGTGACTTTAAGTTTTGCAAGTCCTTCGGTCTTGGATCGGTCGTCTGCTAGCCGCGCGACCATGCCCTGTCAAATTTTCATGCTTAACAAAACGGAAAACACAATTGTAGGTCGACCTACAAACCTGGAGGGGTAGCTGCGATTTTGCGATCGCGCGGAACATGTTATTATAGCTGTACCATCGAGTGTCGCAAGGCTTGCTTATTGCTGTCGTGCTGCCATTGTACTTCATTTGCTCTTCTCGAAGAACGGCTAATGCTTTCGTGCGCGTGGCTAGTAGCGAAACAATGTCAACCGCTTTCTTGCAAATTGCTGAAAATTTCGGGACAGATGTCAAGACATCTTTCACAATCAGGTTGATTTGGTGGGCGCTGCAAGGCAGGAATATCTTGCTTGGATACTTCTCCTTCATTAACCGCCTCGCCTTCACGTGGGCGGCATCCGAGTCGCACGTCACCGTCCGAGCACAAGCCTTGAATTTTTGCTCCAACATCGTAAAACTGCCTTCGATCTTTTCCATGACATCTTCAGCCCGAGATGATTGAGAAGAAATAATTTCAGTCGAAAGAAAATGGTTCTCGACCCCCTGACTGTTTTTGACAGTAGCCATAATACCTAAAAAGTAGATTTTTGTAGGTCGACCTACACTTCAATTGAACAACACCAAAATTACTCGTTTACTTAGCATCCCCAAACCACCGTTTTCCACTTACCAAGAACTTTATCATGCTTCGCATTTTTGTAACCGTCCAGCGTCACAGTAACAGACAGTTGCGATGACAAAGCTTTGGCTGTGTCGCTTTCAACAGACTTGATGCGCTGTGGGATGATGCGAGTCGATAACACAAATCGACTTGGTGGCTTCACCGCTGGTCGCATAAATTTCCAAAACCGAATAAATCGAGGATCCTCCACGGCTCGAAAGGAGAAGTTCCCCGAGACAAACATATCGGCAAGAAGACGCTCGAAATCCCCCAGCTCGTTTTTTGCCAGTGGCCGATCAAAAAAAGATTCCGTGTTCGCCTGCTTTTTTGCAGCGCTTCCGCCTGAAACCGCAGATGACAGCAGTGGCACAACGTGTGCTCCTTCGTTTGTTTTTGGGTCGACCCAAACAGAAACTTCCTTGCGGTATGCATCCTTAGCTGACTGCGGAATGAATTCACACTTGTAAAAATGGTTTTCCAGATGCACTTTTTCGCCGCGCAGGGCCTTCGGAGACGGCAGATTAGCAACGCATTCTTTGCAAATCGCCTCCCAAAAATTAGAATGAGCAACCTGTTTGGCGCCACGGTCGAAATACCGCCAGATGGGTAAACGACCTGTTCGCATTCGCTTTGCCCCTACAAAACGTTCAAGTAAATCAAGCACCACTTCTGAAATAGTAACAGAATGCGGGTCGACCCGCAAACAGCAAAAGAAACTCACCTGAGTCTGACTGATCTTCAGTGGGTGCAGGATCCTTGCCTGAACTGGCCGTATTACTTGATGGATTCATGATACGAGCTCGTAAGGATGGCAATTAAGGATTATTCTAAAAAAAAACGACGGTTCCTTACAGAAATAATTGTGGGGAAAAAATAAATGCTGCCTTGCTTGCAGAAAGCAAAAAAATGCAACGTTAAGCGATTTGCGCTGAAGTTGCTAAACGGTGAGGTGAAGTAGCACACGAAACGCCGTAACGGCGTATTACGACGTTTTAAAAGCCATCTTCGGCCTCTTACGTTCCTGCACAACGAACAAAAAGATTTTTTGGTATTACCATAGGCATTCTGGTATATCAGATCTTATTTGGTATATCTGGTAGTAAATCTTACCATTTGACACCTGCCTGATATACCATTTACCAATGGTATATCAGCCGTACCACAATACCATATACCATTTGGTATCAACAACCCTACCACAAGGGTTAACCATACGCTACTAATTACACTGAAATTATAGCAAAGTTTGACTTTTCCTATTCAGAAGGTTATTTCCGCGTATTTGAACCACGTTTGGGCGCAAGTCGTGCAATAAGGAAAAAGATATCCTACTACTTAAAATCTGATAATCTGAAAATCTGACCGCAAAAACTAACAATTTCATAATTCTGAGAAGAAAAACTGTACATCTGCACTGAAACACGCGCTAAAGTACTGAGGCGTACAATACATGAGAAGAACATACGTACTACGAGTTGCACTGACACACTGCCATACAAGGGCGATACACACATACACTGAGCAAACTGCACAATTTCCTGCTAAAAGCCTATAAAAGTCATCACCGCTTCCGAAAAAATTTCAGTTCTGTTTCCTTATAAGTTTTCCTACCGAAATTACTGAGACGTTTATTTCCTTAAAGCGTGACCTATAGTTACCGAAATGTCCGCTATGATAAACGCTATAACTTCCTTATCTACTGCTCCTGCTGGATTGCATGTTGGTATCGAACAGGTTTTCGATCGTGACACTACGAGTTTTCACACACGAAAAATGCGATTGTATGAGGCTTTTCAGTTCGCTGTCCGAACTATCATAGGACACCACACCGATTCTGGATTCTACGTGGATGTTGATTATCTGAAGGCTACATTGAACAACGCACATCATGAATTCACCATGCTGAACATCGACAAGTACATCGAGACTGCTGTAAGTTCTGGATTTCTACGCAAAAGAGTGAAAGAGGGACGTTGTTTCCTGGAAGTATCGTCACGAATTCAACGGGATCGCAACGAGGAAATTACCACACGACTGCAACTGCGAAATGCTATTCTGACAGTGCTGGAGGAAGGAGGATACGCGATGACGAAATTCGAAATTCAACGCGTCATCCGAACAACGTACACTGTCTGCTTACACAACTGGATCAAGTACTACCACAAGGAAAGAAACTTCTTACTGGAAATTGGATGCCTAACGTCTATCGGAGGAGACAAGTTCGTGAGTGCGATCGTATACCGCGAAATGACAGATCGACGAACTCAAGGACTATCGGACGAATTAGCACGAGGAGTCGGTAAGATCAAAAACTTTACAAATCTGATAAAACCGCTTATTATACCTCTTATTTCCGCATAAATAATTACTGCATAATCACTTATAATTTACTGCGTATTAATTCCGTACAATAATTCCGTATATTTTCAATTTCCGTGTAAATATTTACAAAATTAATTCCTGTATAATTTCGCTAATTTATCCGCAATTTCTGAAATATTAATTTCCCAACTAATTATCCGGATTAATTTCCCTACTAATTCCTATTATTTACAGGTATGCTGGTTCAGGAACATAACCGTGGCTGTGATCGCTGCGCTCGCGAAGAAACTACTATCGAAGTACGAATTCCCTATCTCGGAACCGATGCACAAAGTGTTCTGCGTCAAACTGCCATGAAAATCGATGCTGCTGCGATGCATGGACCAATGCCTCTGTGTGGACTCTTGGCCGCAAATCCTATTCCGCTACTGCCAAAAACCGAAACTGCTGAGGACACACTATCTCTGCTGCGCGATCCTACTACCGTGATTGCTGAACGTCCTAACGCACCTGGAACTGAAACACGTGGAGATATGCCAAAATCAGTTGCTATGGTTTTCTCACGTAAACCTGATGGATCTCTGCATTTGAAAACTCTTGCTGCTAAGCGTTTCAAGAAGAACTAAAGTTTACGAAGTCTTTTACCGTGTCTGCTGTATTGCTGTATTGATTTTATTTCTTTTATCTTTTCTCTTACGTCTTGTATATTTACGTTCAATTTTATTCAGATCGCCTTTTGCGATTTTATTCTGTATATTCTGCACAAATTACCAAGTGAATACTGTTCAACTGCGATGAACACTGGTGAAAAGTTCTATTTTGATTTTATTTTTCTGGCGTATTCTGATACTGCCGCGATGTTCGATACGAAAGAAGGATTCCGTGTTTTGCGAAGTTAAATAAAAATGCAAAGTAAAACTGCTGACAAACTGCCACTGCTAAAACCGCTAATAATACACTGTCTAATACAAAGTATGAAAAACTTATCCGCATAAATACCACAAATACGAGCTTCAACATTTCTCAAGTAATTCCGCCGTAAATATCAACAATAATAATTACTGAATATCGAAAACACAAAAACAGAACAAGGAGTTTTGCAAAAAGTTCGCCCTTAAGGGGAATCGAACAAGTGTTACGGAAGTAAAGCCGTTTAAAATCTGACTCAGCGCTACATAGTTCGACCGCTGATACCGCGGCACTACTACGAATTTTCACAAACAAATGCCGTAAATTACTACGCCCAAAACTGCTACTGAATAACTGACCACAACAATCCGGTAAATATTACCGCAATTCTCCATATACTCTGCCATAAGAAATTCTCTGATTTCTGCTTATTTCATAATACAATTCCTACAATTTACTAAAAATAAAAAGTCATTCATCTGCTCGACACTAGATGCAAAAAGAAAAAATCTTACTGCTAGCACGGGTTTGAACTCGAAACCTACTTGTCCTACTATTTGACAGAAACTACTATGATCTGTAAAGCATGTACCCTGCGCCACTACGCATTTACTAAAAATTACAAGTCTACAACACCGCTAATACAGAAAAATTACTGATACTAAATGCCATAATGAATTTTACCACAATGTTTCTTGAATTTCCAAAAAGATAATTTCGCAAAAATTTACTCCACTCGCGAACTCGAACTGGATGCCTTAGAGTTACTTGTGATGTACACCTTATCGCATAACAACTCGGACACTACGCATTTCATAATAATATCAAAAATACCTACTCCGAAAGATAAAAATTACAGCTTGCTCGAGTTTCGAACCATGGCTATACTGCTACCGATGACAATATCCAGATCTATAGCGCCACTTCATAACCACTCGACTACTACGAAATTTGATAATTCTACTAAAGATAAACACGCTACGAAACAAAAAATCAAAAGTCAGGAGTTGAACTCCGATCATCGCTACCACTATTCGTCTTGAATAACTACAGGGAGATCTCTCAGCCACTAGGCCACTACGAATTTCACCGAAATAAAAATATCACTGCACCCTGCAAAAGTTAAAGTTTCAAGATTCACAATGCTTAATCATTTTTCATTTTTCAAAGCAAACTTCAGACGAAACATAAGAGCTGCACTATCCGATTGTGCCTGATGCCACTACACTACCAATTTCGACACTACAATATTGCTGAATTTAGATGCCGCAATGCACATTTCCTACATCCGCAATAACTAGGAACAAAACAGTTACGCGCCATTGTCGTGCAATAATAATTACTCATATTCTATAATTCTACTTTTTCTCCTGTGTTTACTGGATTTTTGGTGTTGCAGACGGCTAGTGAATGGTGAGGTTTGCTGGTACCGGGGGCGCCAACACCACTACTGCCGTTGTTATTATGACAACACACTGCTAACCGCTGACAACAAAAGCACCATAAAATCACCGCTTTAATCCACCAACAAACAATACGCACAATACCGACAACTAAAGCTTTAATAAATCCTCTAAATAAATCCGCAACTAAATACTGAACAAAAACACCGCTAAATCCACCAATAAAATATCTGAAATGCTGAGAAATACTGGACCGCAAACATAAAGAAATCTCTCTAAAATCTCTGAATAAAAGCTATAATCACCGATAAATCACAAAATACCAAGAAAAAACAATTCCGCACAAGGACAGACATGGCCGCTACCAACCATGAGGAAAGTGAGGATCAGTTCTCGGCTTCGGAAGATTATAAGGACGATAATACTTGCGAAAGAACTCTTTGTCTGCTTCTTCCTTACTCAGCGCTGACTGCTGAGACCCACTGGTCATCGTCTTCTCTGATTCTTTCGGAACTTCACGAGACTGCACTGGAGTCTCGGCATTTGGTTTCTCCGCTGTCTTAACCGCATTAGGTTCGTTCTTCAGATCGTCTTTCACGTGCCAATCGAGCACCTTGGAAGAAAGATCTTCCATCACACGCTCTCTCACGCTGTCTGCCACTTTCACGCGATCATCGAATGCATTCTCAGGAAACAACAGAGCTCGAGCACCACTGTGCTGCTTAATAATCTCGCTACGTTTAGACATGTTGATGAGAAATTCTCAACACAAACACGATTCAAATACCGCAATCAAATCGAGAATCTGCCACTGAAAATCTCACAAATTCTCGGACTGAAACATTGAAGAATTCTGCCGCTCAAAAACACACAATACTGACTGTCATACCAAACTCAACACACTGACTCAAACCGCTGACCATACGGAAGCATATAAACGTCACTATTGCCGCTAAACTAATACTGCACAATTCTGAAAAATTCATAATCCACAACTTATCACCATAATATTTCCGACTATTTTCTGATAAAAAGGAATTTCAAAACATACTGCCAAGTTTCTTGTGACCTAAACATACGTTAAACGCTACTGTACAGATTTATCTTATAGCCACTGTACTACTACTTTTTGCCTATAGAAATTACTAAAATTCACATATTCCGCCGTCAATAAAGGAAAATCTCCTACGCGTAACTAGTTACATGAGTATAATTTCTCACATA